TCTGAACTTTCCTGCAATACCTAGTTTAAAAAAAAAAAAAAAACAGCATTCCATCAATTTTCAAAGTAAGGATGTCTTTGAATGTCTCCAAAGGGAGGACTGGTCAGCTTTAGATCACATTTGGGGACAATTTCTTTCCCAAACTATAGCAAAGAACTCACGCACGCACGCACGCACGCACGCACGCACACACGCACACACGCTGTCTCCAAAGGGAGGACTGGTCAGCTTTAGATCACTTTTGGGGACAATTTCTTTCCCAAACTATAGCAAAGAACTCACAAACACACACACACACAGAGCTCGGCTATTAATCCTTCATCTTACCTGCGTTAAATACTCTCGGCAAAACCCGATGGGGAGGCCAATCGATCACAAAACACTATCAATGTTGCATTATCCTCTGTGACTGGCTACATGACCAAGACCGTTACATTGGGTCAAGACCCCTGACCTTTGAACTCATATCAACAGCATTAAGAAGGGTTCCCTGGCCATTTTTCTGGACTTCTGTCTATACTCAGAGCTTAGGAATCATGCTGGCAGTGTGAAGATAACACTGCAACAATGGATTTATTAACAGTAAAGAAGAGAATGGGGGGAAAAGAACAAGTGGAGGAGGGATGGAGGAATGACTTACCTGAGAACACAGCAGCATGACCAGTTCAACCACAGAACTGCTGGACTTCATGCACACAAGACCTGCAGAGAAAAACAGATTGCATTTCAGCTTTAATAGGTGAAAACTTTTAACCCTTACAGATAATTAAGATTTTAACCCTAACATAACAAATCTATTAATTTGTGATAATTACCAGCTAACAATAGAGTATTGAAATAGCTGATCGCGAAATACTAATAATTACATACCACTGTAAAAATACTGCTAATTATTTGACTTTTGCATAGACCCACCTGGATTTCATACATATTGAAAATAATTTGGCAAACACAAATGTTTTCTTCCCTCACTTACTAATAAACACCAGGCTGAACCCTTCTAATTCTGTTTTATGAGAATTCTTGCATCAAATGTATTGAGGGAAATAAATTCCTCGGCATTAAAAACATTTAATTCTTCAGGGTCTGTTTTGCTGACACACTCACATTTGTGAGTGGTCTGATTCTGCACCATCTTGAGGGGTCAAAGAGTATTGATGACCTTCATGAACCTACATGATGCTACTGTAAACTAATACATGTTTGAACCTTGTATTACATCAGACTAGATATGGTGAGCGTATGTTCTATTGATCTGAAATACAGCTTTAAAGAAGCTGCTAGGGAACTAGATAAGCAGAAAGCGTGCAAGAGATTTAACATGAAAGCTAAAGATGAGAACACATAGGAAGCTGGAGGAAGAGGAAGGAAGGAAGCATTTTTGTTTTAAGTGGCTCTCCAAAGTCAGCTATCAATCAGCGTTTCATTTCTCTGGGAGGCAGTGGACGCTTGTATGAGTCTGTTGGCCTCTGACCCTGTGCTCAATAAAAGAACACTGCTATTATAATCATTGAGTTAAAAGATACTTCCAGCCACATTTACTGCTTAAATTTGGTTAGAGGTGAGAGAGGGGGTGTGAGTGATGAGATGTCTCCGTGTTTGTAAGCAATGATGTAAACCTCACTTTAAACCGTCAAACAGACTGCTGCCTTTAGTGTGACTGCATTTGTGTGGATTATTCCACAAATGTCAGTAATAAGAGTAGAACAGTAGCTCACTGGTGCCCTCGATGAGCAGCTCCTGTCCGTGACTGCCCAGCAGTGTGCGAGAGAGGAACGGTGCGAAATCCACAAAAATCTCTCGGAGTAAAGGAGCTGCCTTCTCCAGAGCATGTTCCAACCTCTCTGAAATACTGAAAACACACACAAACACACTTGTAAATATTGCACAGGCTGTGACTGAAATAGCTTTACAAACAGCAGATCATTAAATCAAATAATGCTTTTAAAAAATGCATCTAAAGCTATAGCTTGCTTATGATACAGCGTGAGATTTGAGTTTAAAGCAGAGACCTCATGTTGGGGGTGGAGCTCTGGGTCACTGGGGGTAAAGCAGGGACAGATGGCAGGTTGGAGCTGGTGGAGGTTCCTCCTGCAGAGAGTAAACAACTCGTCACCCAAATACATGCACGCCAAACAAAACAGATGCATTAAGCTAAAACGAGCACATGTTCCGTGAATGAACCTTCACTAATTCGACAGATTAGAGCTGGGTGTTACGACTGTAAATAATTTTACTACAAATGCTTATCCTAGCGATATAGAGAGACTGGAGACAAATCATTTTGACATTATCATCATCTTGACAAAAGAATTATGTAAATAATAATTTAAAAAACGATGTAAATATCTGTACTGCATTATATAGGTTTTTAGATGCTTTTTCTGGAAACAAAACTAATCAATATTGATATTGTTTATAAAACATTAGTCTGTCAGTAATTGTTTTTCCCATTTAGTTCAATTAAAACTGCAGCACTGTAGCCAACTGCAGTAGATTTACAATATTTTATCCAAAGGAAATAGTTAAAATCTAGTTCAAAATAATCAATGTACTGTTCTTTAACGCACATGAGAAGTATATTTAATATATAATATATACAGCCATATTCATTGCTGTTCAAAAGTTTGAGGTCAGTAAGAAATTAATACTTTTATTCAGCAAGGATACATTAAACTGATCAAAAGTTACTTATAATGTTACAAAGGACTTCTATTTCAAATAAATTAGTTATTTTGAGTTCTTTAAGTTACTGTAACTTTATTTGTGTTGTCCTTGACAAGAAGGTTGTAACAGTGAATTGCTACTTTTTGTGTCAAATAAACTCAACTCAACACACTATTCATCAAAGAAACCTGAAAAAAAAAACAAGTTTCCACAAAAATATTAAGCAGCGCAACTGTATTCAAGATTGATGGTAATAATAAGAAAATTATATTATAATAATCATATTTTAATAAATTGTATTATAATAATTATGTCATAATAATATTCATAATATTACTGTTTTACTGTATGTACTTTTTTTTTTTTTTTTTTTCATTCATTCATCCATTTATTTATGGTCAAATAAATGCAACTTTGATGAGCATGAGAGATATTCAAAAACATTAAAAAAAAAACTTTGGAACGGTAGTATATTTTTACCAAAAGATTACCATTAATTACCATTACAATTTTACCAAAAGATAAGACCATTAATGCATGTGAAAATGCAAATGAATCACTGAATCATGAATTGATCACCTAATACAGACAATCTGAAGTGATGAACACTTCAGAACCATTTATGCTACCTAAGTTTAAGCAGAGACTCTATTAACACATCTATGTAATCAGTTTCACTCGCTAGACGAGAAAGGATTGTTAAATTTGTCTAAGGACACTTAAAAGTATTAAAATAAATCACAATATTCACAAGGTTCCTTAATGTTATATAGTCAGTAAAATCATTGTGAATGTTTTGACACTTATCCACGATATTCAGCGCTTCTAACAACCTGCTAAAATCACCCTTTCCTTCTGCTATCTACAACACTTTCATATAAAGGACAAGAGCGAAGATGTATGTTGAAGCTCTGACACCATGTGAAAGGAGTTTCCGCTGAATGATAGCTCTGCTCTCGTTAGCATTCGTGTAAAATAAGCATTAGAGCAGCTCTTACACTCCTCCTGATAAAACAGTCCATAAATTCATTAGCCCTGTGTGTGGCTGTGATTGGTGTACTAATACTTATATGCCAATAAATTTAATCTTGCCCCCGTAAGGGTCACATTTTGGGCTAGTGAAGGTCTTGGCATGACCATGCTCTCTCTCTCAGGATATCACACCACAATAAATCTGCATACGCTAATATCTCTACACACACACACACACACGGGGTCTCAGGGCAGGGATAACTCTTGCAGCAGTGTGGAATGTTTCTTTAAGCACCAACATGTGCGTCTGCGGAGAGACTCACGCTCGCAGATGAAGTAGCCACTTCAAACAGCTCGGAGAAAATGAGCTTATCTCTATTCAGCTGGGACCTGCCCCTCTCCTTACACACACACACACACACACACACACACACAAGAGAACCATAAAAATCCAGACAAGCTTAAAACTACAAGCATGAGATACAGACCCATGAGTACACTACTTCAAAAAACACGAAAAGCTAAAGGGAACTAAAAACAATCCCTTCACGCACAAAGGATCGTGTGTGCATGCACATGTTGGTTTCACAATAAAAGAAAATCACATAGACGCAATGATTTTTAGACAGAGGTGATGATGTTGGCTACAATTCAAATGCAGCCCCTAATCATCACACAAACTTGTTGATATGATTAGAAAAACATGATTTGGTCAATGTATGAGGATTTCAAATTGTCATTAAGGCATCATTTGTGACACATTTCTCTATATGTGTGAGTAGGCCTGTCACGATAACAACTTTTTGTTGTGTGCTTCTCGTCCGCGCTTGTTTCTTTCAGGCAGCATACAGCAGTGTTGTGCATTTTGACCAGTTTATGGGAAAAGTATTCTTAAAATGATCTCTGCATTACATGGTCGCCCCGATGCGCACACACAAGTGAGCACGCTCCCACTAGTATTTGTAAATATTAAGCCGCAAAACGACTATTTAAATATGAATTCTGCATGTCTCTGTGTTAATGAATGGCAAAGACGCACGGTTTTGTTTACTACTCATACGGAAACGCTTGTGACGCTCCCGGTGATATTAACGTCTGCCGTCTCACTAAATGAGGACATAAATACATGAACAACATCTTCAGAACTGCTCTGAGAGCCACTTCATGAGCATTTGACCGTTTCATTTGAGTAAAACTATCCTCATATCATACACGCACAGAAATGTAAAGGTATTCACGGCAACCCGTCAAAATAAAAGTTCGGTTTAACTTGAAGACATTGTAGCAGAAATATATTAGCCTACTATTGTTCAGTAGAATGTATGTAATAGGCTACTACTACTACTACTAAACTTATTAAAACCTTATTTATAAAGGAATAATCATACAATATTTATTTAGTGTTTTAAATGTAATGTTAAATCCCCTTTATTTTCCAAAAAATTTTATTTGTTTAATTTTCATTAATTAAAAGATAAATTAAATGAATGTTTTATGCCTTAAAAATGTAAATGCACAACACAGAATTTCTGAGGGGGGAAAAAATCATAAGGCTATTGTAAGAATAAATGAAACTTGTTTTTATGCTTTCAAATAATTAGACATGCTAAAACACATAATTTGGTAACAATAAAACATAAGATTGGAAAAAATAAAACATGTTTGGGCCCTAACCCTAACCCTAGCGGAAACACTGAGATATATATATTAGGGCTGGGATGATAAATCGATGCATCACGAATCGAGAAATGATTCTGCATCAATTCTGAGATTTTCCAAAGGCATCGCGATTCTCTCTTGAATCAATTCGGAGCTTAGTTTTTAACAGCAGATGTTTAGTTCTGCTTGCTTCCAGTTCCTTACACACGCACCACTTGAACCTAAAATAATCATTCATAAAGTTCGAAAAGGTTGAAGCGAATTACAAGGATGTTCACAGTGGGCTGTGTTTACATTAATCTCGTGTCATAAAAGCCGATGTGCAAGTACATTTAACCACTTACATTACTCAGCCGAACGCACATGCGCTCTTCTTCGTGAGCATTTAAGCGTGCGGTTTAAAAACTAGCCTAGAGCGCCATCTGCTGTTAAAAACTAAGCTCAGAATCGATTCCAGAGAGAATCACGATGCATGCCGAAAATCTCAGAATCGATCCACGAATCGATTTATTGTGCCAGCCCTAATATATATATATATATATATATATAAACACACACATACATATACATTATATATATATACAGCTCTATATAGCTTTGTAATTTGGCAAGGTGTAGTTATTGACATGATCTTTCATGAAGACCCTCACCTGGGGCGGACTCTGTGCTCTGAACAGCTTCTCCTGCAGATACCACTGACACACTGTTGTCTGTAGTTTCACCTGAGGATGCAGCAGTGGCTGATGGGACGGACGCAGCTGCGGAGACTGTACTCATTCCTAGTGAGGGAGCCCCACCCATTTTCTTAGGTGCCACAACAACACTCCTGAAAAAGAATGACCAAGACAACAATCCATTATTATTATTCCAAAAAATAATTTTTTTTGTAGATTGAATGGTGTACTTTAAAAAAAAAAAAAAAAAAGTTCATGCTTGCATTAGATTTTGAAGCCTTTTTAATGCATTTTCTAATAGAGGGAAAGCAGACTCTGATGCTCTAATAAATACACAGAGCTAGAAAATCAAGTACTCTGTCAAAATACCATTAGCTCTGGTTCCATCGACGGCCCTGTAACGATCAGACTGATGATGTCGGCTAAATATGCTGCACATAATGTGATTTAGCATAAAAAGCCGCCCAGCTCACACAGCACAAGAAGCCCATTTACCGTGTTAGTGTAATTAGAGCCCTGTTTCCCTGACACAAAATATTCCATAATGGCAGCATCTATCTTCTGACCAATCAATGGCCTCCCAGCTCCTGTCACTCAGAGCTCCAAACTCTGTGATTGATTAAAGCTGGCGGTGTGTTATGCTCTAGATGCTACTGTGTGTTGCTGTACAATGTCATGTCGTGTGATTATCTGATAAACAAGACGTTTTGCGGTAAGTTAAAGATTAAAGGACTGAAAACGTCTCAAAATTCCAGTTCATTTTGAGGGTTGTGCTCCGTTTACAGTATTAGGCTAACGTTTGGACACACTTAGCTGAAAGTATGTTTCTCATGATATGATCTAGCGATTTATGCTTAAATGCTTGAAATTAGTTTTATATAAATATTAATTCAGCCAATTTTTTTTTCTTTCCTGTGGGACTTAAAAAGAGAAATATTTTGATGATTCTTCATGCATCTTTACAAGGACAGTTTATAATTATCACAAAGGGGCAAAATAAAAAAAAAACATTAAACTATTAAGAACTATTCCACTAAAAGACTCTAAAAGGTATCCACGCTCACATTCAGAAAAAAAAGAAAAGGGAAAAAAAAAAAAGGTCTGACGCCATCGACGCCACTGAAATCAAACCGTCATAGGCTCTTACTTGAGTTGTACTTAAAGTCCAAGCAAAGCAATATTAAATGTGTTCCGAGTTGATAAAAAAAAGCCAAGTAAATAAAATAAGTTATCAATATCTTGAAACATTAAACTATTAAGAACTATTCCACTAAAAGACTCTAAAAGGTATCCACGCTCACATTCAGAAAAAAAAGAAAAGGGAAAAAAAAAAAGGTCTGACGCCATCGACGCCACTGAAATCAAACCGTCATAGGCTCTTACTTGAGTTGTACTTAAAGTCCAAGCAAAGCAATATTAAATGTGTTCCGAGTTGATAAAAAAAAGCCAAGTAAATAAAATAAGTTATCAATATCTTGAAAAAAATAGGCAGTATTCTCTGCTCTCAAATGCTGGGGGCGTGTCCTCTGTCTGCGCTGAAACCACACCCCCCTCGCGGGAAAGCTGCCATCTCTCTCTCTCTCTCGCTCTAAATACCGCTACAACCTGAATGGACGCTCACTCTAGCAGCTTAATTTAAATAAGGAGACCGAGCTGTTTTGTAAATTATCGCAACCAGGTAATATGCATTTACGTGAGGAAGGCATAGCTAGCTAGCAGACTGTAGGCTGTAGAAACTAACGGTTGAGATTGAGCGGGCGAACCACTGATGCTAATGCGCTCTAGTTATTAGGTGTGTTCGACCTGAAGCAGCGCTGCGCAGATCGATCGGTGTTTGACATCAAAGTACCGTGAGAGCGATTCGAAAGCATAAAGAGCCATCTTTAAGAGCTACGATGGAGGGGAAGATTTTCAGTGAATAACGACCTAAACTTTGGTCTGTTCCTCTTGTTGGTCTGGCATTAGAAGACTTGAACACTAGAATGGACTTGTATGGACCACAAAATAATTTTGGTGTTTATTTTGCAATATGGATATGTTGAAGTATGGATAGTATACGTGATATAATAATAACAAAAACAATCAAGTCAAAAGATCAATAGTTAATTTTTTATAGTTGCTTTTCCATGTTTTTCAAAATAACAAAGGGCAGTCATGGAATTATTTTTTGGAAACCATTCATACATTGCAGGCAGAGCAGGTTCTCTCTCCATCAATGGTTTTAGCCACAGACTTTTCGGTTTCCATTTAGGTTCTACTTCTTTGGTGGCTCAGGAACTGCATCATGCTCCTCATCGTGTCATTCAAAAAATATACATTTGCACAGCCATAAACCTTATTCAGGTGTGCAATTGCAAACATACCTTTTTTTTTCATGTTTATTGTTTTATGAGGACAAGAAAGTAAAAAAAAAATCAACAAGTGCCAAGCATAAGCATGGAACGCCTTCAAGACTTTTAGATCCGCATTCCAGCTTTATCACTTTTTAATTTGTTTATCATAGGTTAATTTGTGTTATAACAACATTTTATTTATAAAAAATATATATATATATATATATTTTTTTTTTTAAATAATGAGCAGGTGTCCTAGTAAAAATAAAACAGTATTAAAGAAAAGAATGCATGTTGAATAAACCAGGGAGGAAACATATTAAACACACAGCAAATTACCATGGTAACATTTTCATAATCACAAATGGTAAAAATGTTTGAAAGATAAAGAACACATCAGTAAGCTTTCATAATGATCACGGGTCTCTGCTGCATTCTATATAGTCTAGAGTAAAAATGGAAATGGTTCATATCAGCTGAAAGCCATGACAGAGCTCTGGCCTTTCACAGTGGCTAGTGTTGAGTTTATCAGTGCTGACAGAGGGGTAATGCTACGCAGTCACCAGCTCCTCTCCAGAACACATCCACAGAGACGCTACAGACTGAGGAGCTACGCCAGCATCAGATAAGAGCCGTCTAGGACAGACTGCTTCAAACGTCCCGCTGGAAGTTGCCTAGGAGCAAAGGCACGAGAGTGAGAGTGTTCTCACACCATTTCTAAACATCTGATGTCTCCTTAACTTGAAAATATCCAGTGCAAGAAAACGAAAGGAACTTGTAAACTGAAAGGTTCGCAGCTCATGATATCAGCATTTGCTGAACAACAGTGCGCTGTTCCAAAAACTCTATTAGAGCGCATTTATGTTCTCTCTCAAGTACATGTTTACCTCTGACCGGTGGTGGGATGGTGGGGGTGGACGGCTGCTGCATCCATCTGCTCAAAGGCGCAGGTTGTAAATTATTCAGCACACCATTAGCCACACTTAGCCCCAACTCACTACCGCTGTCAATTAATCAGAGCTGCCAGGTTTATACCACCAGACGAGAGGCCAGCGTTGGCCAGCGCACATGGAGTTTGGATTCCAGACGCTGAATTATTTAGCAGTTTTAACCAACACTCCCGGACACGACATGTAAACAGCATGTTTCCCGTAATCTGCACAAATGTGAGATCGGGTGCGAGGAAATGTGTGTGTGAGAAACTGATCTTACTGGACATGGATCGACATTTTCAACAAACAAGGGCTGAACTATCAGCTTCTTCACATAGAAATGCTGCTTTAAATTAGTCTTGCTGGTGGTAAGTTTCAAACTGCGCCGTTTTATTTTTATTTTTTTAATTTAAATACATTTAAAAGCCAAATAAAGTTAAATACATTTTAAAAATGTATCCCTTTGTGTCTTCTTTAGAGGTTAGGGCACAAACATGCTACCAGAAATATCCATTTCATGTCATGGATGAAAACAGTCAAGGCCTCTAAATTTAGTCTATATTTCATCATGACATATTCATTACATTTTTGTCCATTTTGCTTCAACTGAAATGGCAAACAAACAAATAAATAAATAAACAACATTTTAGTTCATAATTTCAAATAATTTCAAATCTTGCATAGTACGATTGGATTATTTTAATCTTTTTTTTTTTTTTTTGCCTCGTCAAACTATCAACAGTGAAACCGTTTCATCATTGTTATGATGCATCTTTTTCATCGCATTTTCATAGCTGACAAAATCAAAGAACCTGTTGTCAAGAATCCTAACTGTTTTTTTAACCTTAAACCGCATAAACACAAAATAATGTTCTTTTTAGCAACATCGTATGACCCCTTTAAATAAATGCTGTTCTTTTGAACTTTCTATTCATCAAAAAATCATGGTTGTATCATAGTTTTCACTAAAATATTAAAAAGCACAGTTCAGAAAGAAAATGCATGTGTATCAGTATATTGGATCCATGCATTATGTCTTAAAGTGACAGCAGCCTAATACACCTGCTGCTGCCATTAATGTGAAACAAAAAACAAAAAAAACTCACCGCTTTTGACTTAATAACTTTTCTAACTTTAATAAGGATTAATCTATACATTAATTTACATAGGCTATGAAGTGTTAGTTTTTTTTTTCTTTACAATAACCATTTCTGCCCTAACACACACACACATCAACCAGCAAACACAGACACAAGTCCACTGGTGGAGGAATGGACAAGTGTATGAGTACGCATCTCCTGGGGCCCGTTTTGATGGGCTCTGCTTTTGTAAGGCTGTTTGTTTGTGTAGAACGGCACACTTCCACAGCAGAAGTCAGGTGCTCTGCGGGGGGTGTCCATCATAAAAAGCACACAGACCGCTGCCATAGCACACTCAAAGAGAAAACATGTTTTGTTTTTTACATGATGTGTGGCGAGAGAAAACAAGAGCTATAAAAAAATCTTTGCGCCTCTAGCAAAGCACTTACATCTGTGTGCACGGATTGGCCAGTGAACTATAAATTCTGATTGTCCACTCACCTGTCGAAGGAGTGAAACTGGACGGACTGGTCACGGGAAGCATCGCCCACTGCACCCAGAAACCCGGGCGGTATAAGGCTAGGGTCCACCATAATGTCATCAGAGGGAGCACCAACCAGACTTCTCAGAATATCCTTGACATTGACGTTTTTTCCTTTGCTGTCTCTATCAGTGACCTCCTGACTTCTCCTGACTTCAGAGGACAAAGTAGACAGGGCTTCAGATACAGCATCCGGGCCGGTCCGTGTCTCGGCATCACTGGGGATGACTGAGGTTTTCGCATCCTCATTACTAGATTCTCGATGATGAGACAAACCGTTCTCAAGATCAGACTGAACACTCTCTGCAAAAAACAACACAACAGTCCACTGCTCAAAAAACTGAATACGTGTGTATCTGGTCTGTAGGTTCAATCTTGCAGCAGTGATGTGTGTGGGTTCAGGTGGTCACCTGTGCTCCTGACAGACTGTGAGCGCTGGGCATGTCTTTTGTCATTGTGTGGCTCAAGGATGTCTCGATATTTGGATACCATGAGTACAGAGATGAAGTAGACCACTGCCAGGGCCAGGAACTGAGCCTGTTTACTGTCCTCCTAAAGCACAGCACACAACAAAACAAATGTTAGAGTATTGTAAAAAAAAAATAAAAAAATAGCCACACTACTGTTCAAAAGTTTGGGGTCAGTTTTTTGAAAGAAAGAAATACTTTTATTCAGCAAGGGTGCATTAAATTGATCAACAGTAACAGTAAAGACCTTTACATTAATACAAAAATTATTTCAAATGAAACACTGTTTGACTGCACTATAGAAAATAAAAGAGACATTAGCTGAAAGAGTGGCAGATCAGAGCCAGCAAGGGATGTGTTAGTTGAATAAGAGTATGGAGAGACTCACTATGTCTCTGAACACTACAGCACGGAGACGATTGATGTCCATGTCCTGCAGAAGCCGGTCTAAATCTCTGATAGGAGACATCCCTCCTGTCACAATGTCCACAGGACTCTGCAACACACAGTTCACACAGTCTCAGAACAGTTTTTATTAATTTTATTATATTTTTTTTCCAAAAAATTATCCCACTGCTCCAACACACGATATCAGTTGGATTTAGTAAAAAAACTAGGGAGACTTTTGTTTGCTGTTCCACATTTAGACAGCGCTGAGGCACAGAGGCACTAATGCAACAGTTTTGCTAAGATTCTAAATAATAGATGAGCTGTGAGTGTAAGTTACACGACACATTAAAGAAGAAAGGGGGTTTATTTTTTTACTGGAACTGTAAGAATCAAACCATGGACCATTTTGCGCAAAAGGATTCTATTTAAAATTACCATCTGGACAGTAGAGAGGGAGAGGAGGAGAGAGAGAGGTATCCTTGGCATGATGTTGAACTTGCCTGTGCTGGTATAGACTTGGCGGCTCCCAGAAGGCTTTGCTGTCCATGGCTGCTCTCTGCACCAGACTTACCCAGAGTGTGCTGCTGACATTCCAGACAGTTTCTCACAGCCATCGCGCACACTGAGGAGGAGAGAGAGCGTGTGAGAGAGGGACAGATAGAGAGAGAGTGCAACTGAGAGGTAGAACTACTGAGAAGAAGACAACGTCACAGAGATGAAAGGGTACTAGAATGAAAAGATATATAGACTAAAGGAAACATGACATATGAGAAGGCCGTTGCGTGACAATGAAAAAGGGCTTAAAATACCATCTTATGAGTGAAACCAGTGAAAACTGAAGCCATAAGTAGACTTTTTGGAAGATTATGTGCATTTCTAAGGTGTTAGTGTTTTGTTGCAGTGTTGTTTCTAGGGTGTTCTGGGTAGTTTTGTATTCACACCAGGAAAGTCCACTAGTTCACTTGCTTTGGTCCGGACCAAATACAATGTTTTTTTGTTTGGTGCGGTTCGCTTTCACACTGCCCTTTTTTTGCAAGTGAACTTATGAGCATCATATGAGACAATATCATACGATGTTATAATTACGACTTGCCGAAATAAAATCTATAGATATAAAATCCTTAAAGCATAACACAATGTTAGTTTAAACATTTAACCTATATAAATGTGCGCTATTAGGTGACTATAAAACCTTTAACATAAACCTTTTACAATGTTGGAAAAATGTATATTTGAAATAAAATAAAATAAAATTTTCATCATGGAATCCAGAAAAAAAAGTTTATCACAGTTTCCACCAAAATATTACATTAATAATAAAAAGTACCAAATCGGCATATTAGAATGATTTCTGAAGGATCATGTGACGCTGAAGACTGGAAAATGCTGAAAATACAGCTTTGATCACAGGAATAAATTCCTGTAATTTTGAAATATATTAAAATAGAAAACATTTATTTTAATCTCTAAAAATATTTCAATAAATTGCCAAAAAAATTATACTAATTATACAATTTTGTCTAAATAGACTAAAAGTTAAATATATATAAATATATATATATATATAAATATATATATATATATATATATATATATATATATATATATATATATATATATA